AACTATAACTCAGTCAGAAACTCAACAGCATTTTAAATATATTTTTATTTATGTGTATGGCCACATGAGCTTATGTGCACCATGTTTGTTTATGCAGGGACCCAAGGAAGGCAGAAGAGTGCATGAGAGCCCTCCAGCTGGAGTTACAGATGGCTATGAGCAACCTAAACCAGGTTCTCTGGAAGAGCACTAAGTGCTCTTAACAGTTAAGCCATCTTTCCAGTCCCTCAAACAGCAAGTTTTAAAAATCAAACAGTCTTAACAGAATGTAATGCAAAGACACAAATTTGATACTTACTTGCTGGGAAATGATGGAAGGAAAATATCAAATGTCTGATTTCTGTAATTAAACCATACTCCTATAAAAGTAGAAAAGTATGTATGTACAGTGTTTGTTAGGTTTTGTTGACTTAACACAAGCTAGAGTCATCTGGGAAGAGGAACCTCAGTTGAGAAAATGCCCCCATTAGATTGGCCTGCAAGTAAGCCTAAGAAGCCTTTTATTGTTTGACGACTGATGTGAGAGGCCATATTGCTGCTCTTGCAGGGGACCTGGCTTAGGTTTCCAGCAATCACATGGTGGGACACAACTGCCTCACTGTGGTGATGCCACCCCTGGGCAGGTGGTCCTAAGGTGTATAAAAAAAAAAAAACCAAGTTGAGCAAGTCACTGAAAGCAAGCCAGTAACCAGCAGTCCTTTATGGTCTTTGTTTCAAATTCCTCTCTTCAGGTTCCTCCTTTCAGTTTCTGCACTGACTTTCCTTCGTGATAGACTACAAGCTCTAAGATGAAATAAACCCTCTCCTCTCCAAGTTGCTTGTGGACATGGTGTTCATCATAGCAATAGGAACCCTAAGACATGAAGTAAAAACACTACAATTCATAATACGCCATAGTCTCCAGCTGAGCAGAGGTGTTTTAGGCAGTGTTAGTTGGTACTGTTTGGGGCTGGAGGATGGCTAAGTGGTTAAGAACACTCGCTGCTCTTGCAGAGGCCTTGGGTTAGGTTCCAGCAATCACATGGTGGCTCACAAGTGCCTGAAACTCTAGTTTCAGTGGGTCTGATGCCCTCTTCTGGCTTCAGTGGACATCAGGCACAGATGTGGTGCAGAGACATACATGCAGGTAAAACATTCATACACATAAATAAAAACGACATTTCCGTTGACATTTGTTTGCCATGAAGGCATGTACAGTGCAGAGTGTTATGATCAGAACTGAGGCATTTGTGTCAAGTGACATAAACAAGTGTCACCAAAACCACATTGAATTCATTGGGATTTGATGTTGAGTTAGCTATTGGTCATAGAACATTTAGAAATATTTTCACAGCCTTCACATTCACTTTGCAGCCCAGAGTTAAGAAGCTGGGGCATAGAACACTCTGCCTTTCTGAAACTCAGCTCCTTCTATTCAAGTGAGAGGTTGGACAGGAAGTCTCTAAGGTCCTTCCATCTCTGAAAGACTTCCTAAGTAAATCCAGAGCATGTCACGTGTACGGAGCTTCTACTGGGATGATGAAAGTTCTGAGATCTTAGGTGGTAGTAACGTTTGTACACTAGGAATGCACTGAACACTACTCAACTGTCCCCTTAAAAGCATCTGAAATGGTTTTACCTTGTACACAGTTTAGTACAGTAAGAAAGGGAGAAACCCAGAGCTCCTCTGAGAAAAATCAGAAAATTTACCATTGGGCCACTCCTCCAAGTGAGGAGTCTAAACCTCTTAGATCTGTATAATAGGACTTTTCTAACATAATTAAAATTCACCTTCCACACGCACTTCTGAGAGCACATTTTTGGAAAGCTGCTGTTCCATTAGACAACAGCTAATGCCAGTACTCGGGAGATGTGTTCAGCCGTGGTTGGTGATTACCTGTCCTCCTGCTTACTCGGGAGATGTGTTCAGCCATGGTTGGTGATCACCTGTCCTCCTGCTCACTTGGGAGATGTGTTCAGCCGTGGTTGGTGATCACCTGTCCTCCTGCTCATTTGGGAGATGTGTTCAGCCATGGTTGGTGATCATCTATCTTCCTGTTCACCTAATTGCTTTCCTTTTGCCACAGACTACTTCAGTGTGGACATGCAAAACAAATGAAGCACACCCAGAACTGCTGACTTGAGTTACAATAGGGAGTTTGATGATTGATGAAGCAGCACAGAGCTGGATCTGGAAAGAGAGCTCATTGGGTAAGAGCTACTTTTCCAGACTACTCAAGTTCAGCTCCCAGCACCCACACCAGGAAGCTCACAACAACTCTAGCTCTGAGGAATCCAACAACCCCTTCTGGTCTCAGTAAGCGCCTACACATGCATACATACACAATTAAAAATAAAATAAACCTTTAAAACAGAAGTTTGAAGTCTTTGTCACACCATATTTGATCCATACAACCATCCTTGCTATGGAGATGAATGATTTGCCCAAAGTTCCAGAGCTCTGACCATGAAGTAAGTATAGGATTTGAACCCAGTTAGCACAGTTGGCATGCTACAGTGACCATACTTTGCTCATCTTACAAAGTGAGACGTGAAGGTCTGTGGGTTAATGAACTGTGAAGATGGAAAAGCAGATATTTCAGTCAAATTCAAGATCTGAGTACCTGTCCAGCCAGGGTACAGTTCTGTCTCCTCTAGATATATGTATCTGTCGACAAGTATTCTCTCTAGCTCCATGTCTTTCTGGGCATGTCTGAGTCTTCAGGCATGATGGCACCATAGTATTATGTTCAGTAGGTGTTTAATAAAGATTCAGATGTGAGTAAGGATGGCAGAGGACATGCTGTTGACCTCAGGTCTTGTGAGATCGTTTAGAGAAAGTCAGCATCCTCAGTTCCAGATAGCAAAAAAACATGGATGACAAAGATCTAGAATGTTCCCAATGCCCTTCCTTATGGCTATGTTCATTTTTACCATCACTTATTTCTTATTTTTGACTTGAGACAAAGATAGTTGTTTAGAATGTCCTCATAAACATTAAAATGCTTCAAAATAGACACGATGCCTTTTATACAAGCACACTTCCCATGACAAATTCTAGTTTATACAAGCACACTTACCATGACAAATTCTAGTTTTACATAGTAACTTGGAGAGATTCACAAACAGATTTTTGGCACGCTTTAAAAAATCTCCTCAAAGCCATCCATTTGGATGAAAATCAGCACTGACAATCTCTCAGACCCATTAAAAAGAAATAAAGCAATAGCTAAACAGAAACAGAACTGATTTGAAAGCGAGAGTTTAATTTTTGTGTTTTAAAAAGTTGATTGCCTATGAGTGATTAATCACTCAAATAATTTGAATTTAAGCTCCAAACAGCAATATTGAGTACTTCAAACCTTACCTACCTGTTTCTGCTCACAACAATGCAGACCTGCACTGGCCTGAGCTCAGGCTGTCAAGGGTGCCAGCTGCCTGGCTCTAGCCTGGAAGAGGGAAAGGGCACTGCTAGGGCAACCTTTTCAGAGATGAGGACTATGAACTTGGAGAGGACTTTGGAATTACCCAATCCATCACCCCCTTTCATAGCTGAAGAGCAGAAGACAAGGAAGCTAAGGAGGCTTGCCCAAGGCCACTGAGTCATCCACAAACAAAACATCATTCCCGTGTGTAGTAGTGACCTAGAGGAGACAGATTTTGGTTCACAATCTGGCCCTACCACGGACATTGAACTAGAAAATGAATTTTGGTTTTTGCAGCAATAAAAGAAAAGCATTGATTTCTGTGTTGCCGCACTGTATGAGGCTCAAATGAGAAAATGCATGCTAAGAATCTGATAAATGTTACTTTATCCACTGTCCTTATCCTTGCCCATGCCTCTTCAGTGTCTACAGATATTTCAGATATGTGCACACTCTACTGGCAGCTACCAGTGTTAGCTTGAGTTTCTGGCTCTGAGACTATCAACAGTTTAACTAAACAAAAACGGGTTTTGGTGTTGTTCTTCTTTGCTTCCTAACATCTACATCAGCTGTGCCATTGAGGGCATGGGGTCTTACATTTGATGGCGGGTATGAAAGACCCCAAGAGTATAAGTAAGTTGTGATCGTTGGTACTTGTCCTCCCCTCCACAGCCACATGTGCCAATGAAGCAGAGCTGAGCCAAGCACTCTCAGGAATACTGAGGCGTCCTCTGCGTGAATGCCTAAGGTGTTTCACTAAGCAGACACAAAGCCAAAAAAATGCTCCAAGCACTCCTCCCTGCAGCCTGGGCAAGTTTACTCTTTCTCAGTTTAACCCCTTCCTTGCCACTACCTTCTCTGATGATATGAAGAGAGCTGGCTATGGTGTTCCTCATCTGTAAATGGAGGTGCTATCTATTAGCAAATGCAGAGTCTTTCTTTTTTAAAACAAACTTCAAAATTGTATGGCCCATTAGATAATAAAATGTGTGTGTGGGGGGATTAGATACTGTTTAAAATGTAGAAATGCCCCTTTCAAGTCATTTGTTGTACTGCCTTGGACTAGAACTCTTGTGCAGATGTGAGTTCATTCTACCCACTAAAAATCAGTACATTCAGATGTGAACCTTGTTCATACAGAACCACGTGATGTGGAACATCCGTTTCTAAAGAAACCAAAGTATGGAGTTACAAGGAATACCTGTGTGAAAGTCAGAAATTGAGGCCCTGGTCCAGTTTCTCTTCCTGAGTCGTTTTATGCCTACATAGGCCTGGCCAGCCTTCCGCTGTCCCGGTAAACTCCACGTAAATTAAGAAAAAGGGTGATGAATGTTATAAATCTACCTATTTGATTGGACCTCCCTGTATCTGCAATTAGGCTTCAGCCACAGAGAAACTGGGCAGGGGCAGCTCAGCTAAGTCTGAAAGTTAAACTGTGGTATTTATTTCCTACAGTCCAACTAGTAGTCTAATCAGCAAAGCTGTTAAACTTGCAATAATATTTCACTGATGTGTACCAGAGCGTTGCAAGTTATAAAATTTCCAATTTAATTTTACTGCATCCCTGAAGCCATAGTAATTAGAAGACAAACTCACAGTGAAGATGTTTACAGCTTCAGGGGTGATGATTCTGAACCTGTTCTGCAGGTCACTCCTATCCTCATAGAACCCCGATTTGACAGCTGCTTGTAGACTCAGGAGCTTTCTGTAGTACAGCCTTAACTCATCATTCATAGGATGGGAGCAGATGTAGATGACACTGACGTTGGCATCTAGGAAATAATGGCCACAATGTTAATTACTGATATAAAGGTAAATGACATGATGAACTCTGGCATCCAGTTGCTGTTACAGTAGTTTAAAACAAAGAGCATATCCAAAAGCCAGGCCAGAGTTAATTTAGATTGGCTTCGCATGCATCTCCGCAATCTAAAGCCCTTCTGTACTCTGTCATTTCTCTAAAGAAAAGAAGATACCATCAACAAAATATGGAAGACTGTGTGAGGGAACATGGAATAAACTTTCAGATAACGCACAGGGATCTAACTAAACCATTTCCTTTAGCATCATTGGGAATGTTCCATTCAGGCCGGCAAATTATAAAGCAGAGCTATTAGCTTTAGAAAGCCAATAAAATTTCAGTGGCATTCTCTGCTTGGATTAGACGGGGACAGTTCAGGGAAGGTCTTGACAGAATAAATGGGCTGATTATGACCAGCAGTGATTCCTTCAGGAAGCCACCCTATCCTGGCTCCGGTCCCAGAGAGGAATATATTTCTTCAGCAACACATCTGGTGATTCCTGGTCTAGAGAAAGCACCGCCCCAACTGCTTTCTTCCTTAAAATGTTCTTAGCACACACATATAAAAAATCCTAATTGAATATCTGGTCCAAATGGGATACTGAGATGAGATTACTCACTCTGTGCTACAGAACATTTTAAGAGCATATGGATGGAAATTTGCATCTGATGGAGCCATTAATTCATTCATAAAATAACTAACTAATGTAGATAACAATAGGAACAAAGCACTTGGCTCAACACTCCAGGAAATCTAGAGATCAAAGTGCTTTTGGGAAGCAACCATTTCAAACACACAGGTCAGACCAGTTTCTCAGGGAAGTTCAGAGGAGGGAGGGCTGGAAGTGTCACCTTGGCTGGCTGGCAAGGTCAGAAGGCTGTTTCCAGACTGCTTTGTTTAGTTTGGCAGAGTACACAGCACACGGGCTGATTAAATTCTAGTTTAGCTTTCTAGGGCCCTGGGCACATTATTTTAACTTTTCTAAGCATTGGTTTCTTCATTTGTAAATGTGGGGTTGAATCACCGAGGCATAGAGATCTGGAGTATTAAATGAAAAGAAAAATATTCTTGGTACAGTATCAGGCACACAAGAAGGGTTGACCGAATGGCACAGCCAACAGTGACTCTCTGCCATGCCCTCTGTGCCTGGCTCATTTTGATCAATCCCTTGATTTAATATGAAGAAGTAGTGTCATCTTCAGTCTCTGATAATTTTTCAATCTATCAATCCAAGCTTTTTCATATTTTTTTCCTGAAATGGGGGTCTTATGTAGCCCAGGCTGACCTTTAACTGACTATGTAATAGAGTCTAGCCTTGAACTCCTGATCCTCCATCTCCACCTCCTAAGTAGTGGTGTTATAGGTTTGTATGGCCAGGTTGGGTTTATTCAGTGCTGGGGATCAAGCCCAAGGGTTTACACATGCTAGGCAAGCACTCTCCCAACTGAACTACATCCTCAGCATTCACCAAGCTCCTTAAATTCTCTATATCTTTATCCAGGTCACAGTACAGTAGACTACATAGGAATTACTCAATAAGCACTCATGGTTGGCTGGGGTTGGCTGGGGGTTCAGAAGAATGAAGAGGTTTAGATGGTTGACTGTTCTCCTCACTTAGTGACATGGCAGGTACAAGTCTCTCCTTGTGGAGACGGTGTCTTTTAAACTGGCCCAAGAAAAGGCTGGTAGAGGTGCTAAATAGTTAAGGGCTCCAATTTTATTTTGAAACTAGATTGCCATATAAACATTAAAATAAATTAGCTGAACAGAAAGTAATTGAATACCTTGTATCCAATTGCTGACTGATCACATTAGTTATTGCTAGTCTTGTATTTGGGGGAAGAAACTAGTGTCTTACCAAACTAGTAAGTCTAAAAACCAAATATAAATATGTGTTGTAATTGTGTGTGTTTAAGAAAAGCATAAAGGAATAGGATATAAACAGAAAAAACAGCTATAGTAGCAGAAAATGAATTTTATTTGGAAAGAAATCTCTAGGGTTCAAATAATAAGAAATCAGGTCGATAGTGTCATTTTTCTTGTTCACTTCTGCCAGAGCTATATGTATCCCTAACTCTAATACCCAGTGGAGTGGGAGTTCACTGTGAATACAAACACAATTACTTGACAGGTAGTTATGGAAAGCAGCTGCTATGAAGATGGAACTTTCTTTGATTGGTAGGGAAAGTACTATCTGTGGGGCCTCTACCTGACCATCCTGACATCACAGCCAATATCCAGTGGCAAGTCTTAGCGGTCTGATCAGATTATCTTTATTTCCCTCCTGAATAAGCAGGAAAACCAATACCTCTTACTAGTAATTAACAGAATAAAAGAAGTTTTAATTTTCCTCCCAGGTCATTTATCATTTCTCCTTTCTTTTTCTACTTTTATTTAAAGCACCCGTACCTTCACTAGCTCCCTCCATCCTGACCTCCTCCTGAGGAGGCTGTGTGGTCACACTGCTGTGTCAGAATGCTAATGTGCCAGAAAAAGGCACACTCGCCCAGAAATGGCCGGAGTTGCAAATTTTTCTTTGTAGGCACAGACTGAATTATTGGATTATCAAAAATAGTAGCCTAATACTTTTTCTCTATAATGAGGAACTTCTATAAAGATACTCCTTTGTGGTGGCTTGTACTATATATAGAAGGGTATATAAAAAGCTAAGGAAAAAAATTAATTCAAATAAATCAGAGTAAAGTCTGCCCTCTGCTGCACCTCAGTGGTCCCAGCCAGCCAGGCTTTTAGTTGAAGAGCTCAGCGCTAACAAATCAATCTCACATCACTGAAGGGCTTGTTGCTGTGTAATGCGGAAGCGCAGCCTGGGCGCCTAGATAACAGATGAAAGCAATTATGCTATTATTATTTTAGGACGCTGGAAATTTCTAGTACTGATGTATTTTTGTTACCAAATGGCATTTATAAAATAATAATGTTGTTGAAATATCTATGAATCATATAAAGTATGTCATTCCAGGGATCCAGCTCAGCTGGCCATTGATAATATAAAATTCTTCCTCCTATTGCTTAAATAAGGGCCAAAACAATTATATTTTAACAAAACAAAGAAGTCCTTGTTAACTTCTAAAAATTCAATTTTTATTAACCCTTAATTTGGGGTCAGTTCCTCACAAACTGACTGATGTTATTGCATGTGCTTTGTAATCTGTATCTTTTCTTTCAGCCAGGTTTGCAACCTGGCCTTAGCAGCCATCTATTTTCTCTCCTGGATCCAGTCTAAGGCTGAGGACTGACTAAAACAGTACCAGTTTAACTTTTGCGAAGACATTTCCACCTGCCTAGGGCCTGGATTTCTAAGAACTCCCCACAAGGCACTCCATGTTTTCTGAATCTGTCTTCGCTTCTCTCTTACTCTTATAATGAAAACACAATCTTCAGTCTTCCTACTGCTTGCACAGAAGACAGGCTAGACAATACTGACAAATAGAGAGTTTTGACCCAATTTGCTGGAAGTAATCAATACATCAAAATGATTTGAGTCTATCAGAGAGAAACTGTTATTCAAAAAAGAATTTAGAAAACTATCCAAATAGTAATTGTTTAAACATTTTAAAATTCAAGTTGACTTCACTGTAAACCCATTACTAAAACAAAATAATTATTTACCTTGCAAGTAGGTTAGAAAGCTAAGTTCTTTCCTTGTAGAGGGAGAGGAAAAAAGAAATATTTACCAATATCTACCCAAAAGTTGCAGACAGTCATTGATGTAAAGCTCTTTACTGTACCTAGGATGTCACACAGCCTCCCCAGCTGCATGTTCTGCTGTATGTCCAAATCAGAAATGTGTTTTCGCACAGGCTGGGCATATCCTAAAAGGTAAAGTGTCAAAATAGAAACAGTACATCAATATAGCACACATGGGAATTTCAAAATGTCACAGTCTGCAAAATGTCTCCTCTGAAGCATCTTGCAGAAACAATAAAATCCTAAGAACGTAGTCTGCATTTCTCAAGGACTCAGCATGGAAGATGTGCTACACGGCATCTTCTGCAAGAGAGGTTGCTATTCTTCCAATACAAATCAAGCCCCCGCGAATCAAGATCACAAATGCATGGAGCAAACGTCTGACATTTAACAGAATGTTCAGAAGGACGTCTGAAAATGTTAGGGTCGGGTTTAAGGGATTGTTTTGGCTTTAAAATCATGCAGCACTTTGAAGTTGGGTCCCAGAATCATTCTACACAGCTCAGTCAAACCCCTTGCTGTTGGAAGCATGTGTTTAAGAACTCACATATCAAAAAAAGCACCCTCTGCTCCCAGTCAGAACTTCTAACTTTCAAAGGGCAAGAAAGGTCAAGGCATTTACTCTGTCGGTACTAAGAAAGTCCTGTGGTTCTTTTTGCTTTTACTGGAGACGGGACAGAGGGAAAATACATAAGTGTTACCACTGCCCAGAAATACTCACAAAATAAGTAATAACTTCTGCTTTAATGTCAGGCCTTAAAACAGTGGATCCAGGCATGAACTCGAAAGACATGTATCCTCACAGGTAGGCACGGTTGCTTGTTAGGAATTCAAGACCCAAAGGTAGAACTCTTTTAACAACTAGAATAACTTGGCAGATTTTGAGAGATGCTTCCATGCCTCCTTGTGGTTACTGAGCCCAAACACATGTCTGTGTAACTGCTTTAGAAAAAGGCACTTTATAGACAAATGCAAGATGTGACACACAGTTCTCTTTCAGCATAAGGAAAACTATAGCAATTCAGGCAACAGGGCTTCAGACCAAATGAATACTGATAATTGCCTCTTTGCTTTGATGTCAGTGTTTAAACACCAGACAACATTTGAAAAGCAAATGAGTTTACGACTCATCTGAAAGTCTTTGTTTTATGCGTACGAACCTAAGAATCGGAGAGACAGAAGGACTAATGGGTGGCTGGAGTCATTTTAGAAAATAGAAAATGACTATTAATTCTCTAATAATTTAGAGAACCACTGGACATATGAAAGTGAACAGAGGTAGATACAATTTCAATGTTGTTAATATGCATTAATGTGATATTGTAATGCTTAAAATTTTGTGTATCTATAATTGCACTGTCTATACATATCTACATTCAGGAAAATGTCCTAAAAGACATATTAGCAAATAACATATATTGAGGTCATAAGAAGAAAAGGGAGATGCTTAAGGAATAAAGTGTAATTTAAAAACATATCTGAGACCATTCCATGACCATACCTCTTTCAAGGTCAAGAGGCAGCATGAGACTTCTAGTTAAGATGATGTCCAATGTAAAATGCAAAAGACGTTTGATCACTTGGTAGCCATATGTGCAGTGTGTGAGTAGGTGTGTTTCATTCACATGTCTGAGGTCAGTCTTCCAACAAATAACCTGGCACCTCTTTTACCACTGATGAAGGATGCATATTAAACATATATACAGAGCTTTGAGAACTTGTTACTTATCCTTCTGCATACACCCATTTTCTGTTAGCAGTCTCACATTATTATAGAGAACCACATGAAGTTACAGATATGAAGATATTTTGGAAATTTCAAAATAAATATTTTAATGTTATGAAGTATGGGCACTTCCAAAGCACAGGACACGTTCTGTGATAAGCAACGTGGACATTCTGTGACATATAGTGTACACACCAGGAATAAAACAAAACTTGGGAGGCAATTTTTCAGATTTATTTTTATTTTCATATATGTATGCATATGTGTGTCTGTGTATGTTACATATATGCAGGTACCCAAAGAAGCCAGGAGAGAGCATTGTATCCTTGGGAGTCACAGTCACAGGTGGTTATGAGCTCCCTGCTGAGAACTGAACTTGAGTCCTCTGCAGAGCAGCAAGGAGCAGCAAGTGCTCTCTAACTACTGAGCCATCTCCCCAGCCCCAGGGAATCAGTTTTTGGTTTTTGTTTTGTTTTAAAGCTAAGTTTATTTTTATATTTTGTATATCCATGAAGTAAATGTGTTGATAAGGTGGAAACTCTTAACAATGCTGGGAGCATAGGTTAAGTACAATGGTGACTTTAACCAGACAACAATCAACAAGGATTCTGGGGCTTCTGGGAGTTGAGCAGCATGTCCTGTGTCTGAGACATCATACTTCAGAATATAATGGTAAAGGTATAGTTAGGTCAAAGGTCATTGGGAAAACCAGGGTCTGATAAGCCATCAGCCTCAACCTTCCCCTGTTACAGAGGAGGAAGTCAGGGATTAGTGCTCTGTCCAGGATCACCTAAATCTATAAATTCTTATGTATTTCAGCCACTTCATGTTTTGCTCTTATGACCAATTTAAATAAATAACATACAGGAAAAGATTCCCAAATAGTAGCAGAAATAGACTTTTTATAATTTTTCCATGTTAATTTTCTATTTTTGTGATAGGCATCTTAATGCCAGAACATTTGGATATGCTAGGGTTCATGCTAAGTGAAATACAGTTGTTAACCATTGACCTCAAAATAAAGAGACAAAGCCGGGCGATGGTGGCGCACGCCTTTAATCCCAGCACTCGGGAGGCCAGAGGCAGGCGGATCTCTGTGAGTTCGAGACCAGCCTGGTCTACAGAGCTAGTTCCAGGACAGGCTCCAAAAGCCACAGAGAAACCCTGTCTCGAAAAACCAAAAAAAAAAAAAAAAAAAAAAAATAAAGAGACAAATCTGCATTTTCTGGCTACACCTGGTGTCCTTAAGACTGAAGGGGGGGGGGGGCTGGAGAGATGGTTCAGAGGTTAAGAGCACTGACTGCTCTTCTAGAGGTCCTGAGTTCAATTCCCAGCAACCACATGGTGGCTCACAGCCATCCATAATGAGATCTGGTGCCCTCTTCTGGCCTGCAAGCATACATACAGACAGAACACTGTATACATATTAAATAAATAAATTTTAAAAAAAATAGGGAAGGGGCAGAAGAGTAGAAAGTTAGGGATGCCATAATTCAAGAAAGGCACAGGGCGTTACAATATACTGTCAGCCTTAAAGATCAAGAACCTTTGTGAATTCCTCTGTGGGTAATGTCTACAAGTTTGAAAGGAGCCCTATTTTCTCATCAGGCCTCCAACAAAAATCACAGCTCTATTGGAACTTTTATTTTATTCCCCTTTAGACCTCTGAACCACTGCTCAGCATGTGTGCAGGGAACTGAGGCCGCTCTATGGAGCAGGAAACACTCCTAACTGCCGAGCTGTCTCTCCAGGTTCTATTTGCACTGTTTTTGGACACCAATTCTATTCACTGTCTATCTCCCTTTGCTTCCACTAAGATCCACCCTTCTCAGGCATCCTGCCTTCCTTTTCACCTTTGACTGAAAGATGAAAGGGCCAAGATCTCTGGCACATGCTATGAAATCATAAATGTCCCCATCATTAGTATGTATTAATATGTATTTCCTAACCTCAGCTGAGCCAAACTAAAATTCTCAAAAGGAACTTAATTTAAATGTGAGAACATTATTATTACTATAAGCACAAAACTATCCAAATACAGCTTCTTTTTATGATAGGCCCTGTGTCTCACTACCCTTTCCTTTTCTTTCTTCCTTTCTCTCCCCAGTCTTTCCCTCCTTCCTTTCTTTTCTTTTTCTTTGTATATGGTGTATATGTGTGTGTGATATGTGTGTGCCTATGGGGGGGCATAGGCTAGAGGTTAATGTTGGCTGCCTTCTTCTGTTGTTCTCTATTTTATAAGACAGGGTCTCACTGACCCTGTGGCTCACAGTTTTGGCTAGATTGGTGGTCAGTGAAGCCCTAGGCATCCTCTGTCTCCACCATCTCTCCCCTAGTGCTTGAGTTGCAGATATGTGCTAGTGGGTCTGGTTTTTCATGGATGCTGGGGTTGCAGACTTAGGTCTTTATGCAGGAGGCCTTTAGATGCTGAGCTATCCCCCACCACCACCACTCTGCTGTGTTCTTGGACTCTTTCTTTTTGCTGCCATTCTCTTGTATGCTTCATCTTCACTTTTTAAATTCTACCATTGTAGGTAAAAATTTTAATTTTACCATAGTAGGCTCCTTTGATTTCTTTTTTTTTAAATATTTATTTATTTATTTATTATGTATATAATATTCTTTCTGCGTGTAGGCCAGAAGAGGGCACCAGACCTCATTACAGATGGTTGTGAGCCACCATGTGGTTGCTGGGAATTGAACTCAGGACCTTTGGAAGAGCAGGCAATGCTCTTAACCACTGAGCCATCTCTCCAGCCCCTCCTTTGATTTCTTATTTACTCATATAATCTGTCTCTCCCCCATCACTCTAGCTCCTGTAACCAGACCACAGCCCAGACAGCAGACACTTGAGGAATCTACAGCCAACCGAGTGAACAAAACGTGCCTGAAGATCTTGCTTGACGACTTAGTCACATAAGCCTCAGTCCTTTCCTCATGTGTTCTCTTCATCCAATCCTTTCAACTCTTCAATTATCTTCTCTAGTCTAGAGAATTTGTGGTAAGTTCAAAGAATGACAAGGTAGTTGTGTAAGATTTTCAGGGTCTTTCCCATAGAAAACCCAGAAGTGGCAGAGAGGGCCCTGTTTCCCTCTTCATTCTGGAGAAGCCTGCTTCCTTTCCTATGGCTCCTGTAATCGCCTGCAAACCTTTCCCAGCTGTTTTTGTTGTAGTTGTTATGTTTAAACAGGGTCTTTCTACATATTCCTGGTTGGCCCGTGCAGACTGGGGTGGTATTGAACTCACAGAGATTTGCCTGCCTCTGTTTCCAGAAAGCTGGGATAAAAGGTGTGCACCACCATGGCCAAGTATTTTCAGATCTCCAGAATGTTCCATCTTGCCCCAAGTAAGTACTTGAGCACGACTGTCCCACTCCACATCAAAGGACGACACTGGTAA